TAATGTTACGATTGCTAAATCCGGAAAATCAAGCAATCGTAAATGAAGTTTGTAATATAAGGGATGATTCGTTGGTTCGGTCTACTTTTACAGCACGTCCACGTGTTAATACAAGGCCTAACGAATTTTATGAATTGGAGTTGTGATAATTTCTCAAGATATGTCTCCGCGGATCTGGAAATATTCTATTTTTAAGTGATTCTTCGGTAGGTAAATCTTTTGGTAAACTTGAAAATTCTATAGGAATCAATTTCCACGGTAAGTATTGAATAGAATTGTTTTGTTCGTTAACTTGATATTCAGTCGCGACAAGATCCTTTTGGCTCGTTGGTTTTGTTTGTTTTTGAGTATATGGTTTATTTAATTGTCTGAATATTTTACATAACTGCACTTTTCTACCACTTCGTTTAGGCATAAGTCTGTACTTATTCAGATTTTGTATAAGAAGTATATTTGGAATTCCTTCAGTATCTGATCGAATCTCTATTAGGATGTTCAGCGTGAATCAGTCCTATCCAAGTTCTGATGATGTATGGAATGTTGATCGAAGTTTCGATTTGTATTAATGATTTGGTAGGATAAGGTAGAGGCCCTAGATCAGGCTTCAGTTCTACCTTTTTGGAAATAGTAAGAATGGATAGAGGCCCTATACAACGGCTTCAGTTCTATCCGGGAAGGTTACGAGTAATTGTGAATACTCTGATTTTGGTAACTTGGATAAGTTTTAGAGGTACTTGGTATATTTTGACTTCACTCACGACACACTCGACAACTCTGATGTTGCACTCTTAGTCTCTTTCTAAAACACACATAATGCTACTTCTGGCTCCCTTTTTATAGTAGTAAAACTACTTCTGATTGGTCAATGTGACTCCCCTTCTTCAAAATTCTTAATATATCGATTGATAGCTAACCCTTTTCCGATAATCAATATACCAAGTCGTACTCCGTTATTTGAATCTCCTTGAATGTCATCCGAGAAGATTCAGGCCTATCCGTTTATTTATCATTGTTCAATTTTAACAAGGTAAAATACAATATTTAATATTATTAGTGTAACGTTAATAATATGTTACATTAATGATTATATGATTAAATGATTATAATGTGTAGAAGAAATTAATGTGTTTTGCCATTTTTAATTATAAGGAGTGGAACGTAACAATATATTGTTACGATCGCTCTCTGAATACGCAGACTATGGTTAAGTTCTTACGTTCAATATTCAAGAGATTTCGCGAATGCTGATTTAGAAAAAGGTAGTTAGGATGGTTCGTTGGTCAGATTTGCCGGTGCTAAATGGTACGTCCACGCGTTATGTCAATTGTTTCAGCAGATAAGATTCGGTAGAAATAGGAAATAGGTTCCAGAGGGTACCTTGATCGATACGAGGAGGATTGTTCTTTGAGTCTGATATGATATCCTGATTAATGAAACTAGAACGAATTTTAACTGAACGAATTGATTTATTCTTTGCTCGGGTATTCTTTATCCGTTTTATGTAAGTTAGATATTCTGGGTATGAATGAATTATTGTGTGTACCTGATTGTATGTGATAATAAAGGATTGGTATGACAAATTCCTTAAGAACATAATACCTGATAGAAATAATAAGCGTAACATTTTTCCGGTCAAATAAGTGATAACGTAATTAAAGATTCCAATAATATAACGGAATATAAAACAAGACAAAAGTATAAACTTATAAGTATAAATCAATAAAATTAGTTATATCAAACGATTAATCGACATATGTGTGTGTATAATGTCTGTATAGGTTAGGGTATAACAATAATAATATGGTTGGCCATGGGTATAAGTGGCTGTGTATATGTATGGGTTAACTAGTATCGTATATAGGAGGGCTGAGACGTAACAATATATAATCTATGATTTACAATAATTACAATAATTTTCGTCGAGGATCGGTTACATCTGTCGTGGTCTCTGACCTTTGCTAATGGGGTACTGAGGGGTGCTGAAGGGGGGGGGGGGCAATGGGGTTGCGTTGCGTCGGACGTAACAAGTATATAGCCTGTGAAAGATTTTTCATTGGAAATTCCTACACTCAAACCGGAGAAAGTCTTTTTACAAAGAGAATTGGACCCTGTAGCAATGGAGGTGCGTTGCGTCGGACGTAACATCCTGACATTGCATCCAATCCCCACCAAATTCAAAATCTTCCTTATGAACATCGACACCGATCATACGGGAGTTACCAATTAATCCTGTGGTAGAGCAGTATCCCTTCTGGAGTCTTGAGCCGATTGTCCGCGTCAGTCAAATGTTGTGTCGATAAAATAACTTATTTTGATATAACTTGCCTTAGGGCCCAAGCGAAAAGTGCATCACCTCAGTGCCGGGCGTCCACGCAAAAATAACTCAATTCTTAGCATTTCCTAAAGCATTCGTTTAGGCGAGTTTTTTACACCTTAGGGCTGGACCAAGAATTTCCCCTTCAACCAAGTCTACTTCCCTATTGTCGAGAACCAAGCGCCCTCTCTCTCTCTCTCTCTCTCTCTCTCTCTCTCTCTCTCTCTCTCTCTCTCTCTCTCTCTCTCTCTCGCTCTCTCGCTCTCTCGCTCTCTCGCTCTCTCGCTCTCTCGCTCTCCCGCTCTCTCGCTCTCTCGCTCTCTCGCTCTCGTTCTCGTTCTCGTTCTCCCTCTTCCTCTCGGTGCTCATCCACCCATGAGTAGCTCACATTCTTACATCTTAACATATATCCTTTGTAAATCGTACTACACAAGTTGACGATCACATATACAGTGCTATTCAAATCTCGCTTTGTTAGTAGATTTATATACTCTCTGCTGCACCCGACTGTAAAATTTACTTTTTTATTTCGAACCTATTGTTTCATTATATTTAGTTAAACCTTATTTCCTTCTCCTGATTTCGAAACCTGAACCCATTAGCTCCTAAATCCAAGTAAAATCATCATCTATTAGTAACAACCACACCTCACGTAGAAGAAGTGAGTGTGTCAATTCAAATACATCTATTATATGGTTGTGAACCTCACCTTAGCTATTGACCAAGGGACATAAATGCAAATAGGCTCTAGCACCTTATAGTGGCAAGAACCCAATACCTTTTACTTGATCTTTGATCGCAATACCTATCCTAGCTCCCTCATGGTCCCAGAAACGGTCGCTCACGCATAGGACGTAACACCTTAAGACCATCAATAAAGAGACACGCATATTTTAATAAACATTTGGCAGTGTATTTTTCTTCATCTTCCAAGTAAAACCGAATCCTTAACGCTCATATGAATTGAAGTTTTCACTGGCGATCAAAAAACATATTAAGTGTGATTCCAGCATATCGAAGGGCGTGTGCGATCACTATAATTTGGCTAAAAATATTTTTTTTTAAATTCTAGTCTATTCCATGCGCTGATGATATATAATTATATACACCAAGATTCGTTAGTTCTTTACTTCTTCATTACTTCTTTATTAGTTTTCTAAATAATTTTTGAAAATTACTTAACTTTATAAGTATACAAGGTAGAAGCCCTCCTCAGTTTAAGGTTCTTAAAAAATAAAAATACGTTGTAAAATAAGTGTATATGTTACGCCGTGCTTCAATGAGTTACATAGCAAAAAATACCAATAAATGAGTTTTATACAGGGTGTTCCGAAATTACCTGACCAACGGGATATGGCGGTGTTCGGGAGACACTACTGATCACGAAAATGACCTTCCTTTTCTCCGGAAGGTCATAGTTTTTAAATAGGAGCAGGTCAAAGTTGACCAATCAGAGGGAGGCGTCAAGAGAAACGTAGCCACATACGAACTGTGAGTTTTCTTCCCTCGCTTTTGTTTCTCGGTGGCTTGTTTCTTGTTCCTTGTTTCCAATAGGCATGTCTTCGGCTGACGTCATCCTGCCTGAAACCACCGAGAAACAAAAGCGAGGGAAGAAAACTCAGAGTTCGTAGGTGCCTACGTTTCTCTTGACGCCTCCCTCTGATTGGTCAACTTTGACCTGCTCCCATTTAAAAACTATGACCTTCCAGAGAAAAATAAGGTCATTTTCGTGATCAGTGGTCCCTCCCGAACACCGCCATACCCCGTTGGTCAGGTAATTTCGGAACACCCTGTATGTGTGAGTCGGCTTGTTTAATAATGCAATTTATTATTTTTTAACATATTAAAGAAATTTATCTGTTAGGTTGAATGATTTGCACTTGAATAATGTAATAACATTGTATTATAATTACAGGTATAACAAAATCATACTGTACAATAATTTTATTTTACAGAAAATGGTTCGAGTTATACCAGTACACAACTTTCTTGGACAAAGTGTAGCCCAAATTGATGAACCAACAGCATTTTGTACTGCAAATGAATCTGCTAATGAGCTTCTGTTCTTAGCACTACGCACTCATTGTATAGAAGTGTATCTTCTAAACAATCCTGACCTAAAGCGATTAACAACCTTTCCAACAGTTGATTTAGCTGAATATATTTTACATTGTGCTAAAGGCGAATATATTGCAACAATGGAAGCAAAGGTTACTCTATAAATTGATACTTTTTATATTTTTTTAATCGAGATATAAACATATTTTGTAAAATATACATTGAATACAGTTACAGTAAATCTTTTCCAATCATTGCATGTAAAATCGTTCGACATCTACAATAGTTCACAGGTTTCACCTACTCGTTATTTATACAGGGTGAGTCTTATCAAACGTCTAAAATGGGTGGAACGGAATTGCTGTAAAGGCGCGCCAACTTTGATCATCACGTAGACTATATTGAGGCGTGGTGAGGAAAATAAAGTTTGAAGAGTTGATAATAACTGTAGAAATTTATTTTGAATAGGTACAGGTATCTAAAGTGAAAATCAAAATAAAGAAAAACAAGAACTAGCTAGCAATAATTACAGAAACTGTTCAAATTGTTGGCCGTCATTCTGGATGCAAAGGTCGAGTCGATTTCGAAGTGATTCCCAAACCGATTGCAGAGTTGATTGTGTAATCGACTCGCATGCTCTTCTTATTCTGACCTGAAGGTCGTTTACATTTAATAGCTGGGTTTTGTAGATCTCATTCTTTTTGTATCCCCAGAGATAAAAATCTGGAGGATTCAGATCAGGAGACCTTGCTGGCTATGGAAATGTGCTACCTCTCCCAATCCACCGCTCCGGAAAGACATCTTCAAAAATAGAAGTTTTGTTGAAAAAACGAAACATCGCAGCATGTTCTGATGCCGAACGCTACCATTATTTGATAAACTGTAAATTACAGGCAACAGTACTATTGCTACTGATACACCCATGTATTGTAATAGCTATCGAGGTTGTGATTAAATATTACTTTCCCACCCCCAATTGTTTGATTGTTTACCTGATTGGCCGAATTGGCATGCCTTTGCAGCAACTAAGTCCCACCCATTTTGGACGTTTGGTAAGATTCACCCTGTATGTACGAATTAATCCGAGCATCTATATGAACATCTGTTGCACATTGAATTTTAACTATTACCTGTACACAGGGGGAGGAAAAAAGTCATATTATATCTCTGCCCATCGTCTTCGCCCAGTCATGCATATTACACCCGTGAACGTTGTCCGTTCATTCCCTTATGACTGAAAACGCAATGCAGCCTGAATATGAGCTTAAGCAATCCCCCAAAAAACACTTACGTGTAAAAAACTACGCCAAGTACAGGATTGCTGTGAATTCCTCTAACAAAAAGTATTGATATCATGTTATTGAGGCCAAGCACATAAGTCACTACATGTTTTCCTATTATATGATCTAGCACTCGCCCATCATTTTAATTATATTTTCAATATTTCCTATAACGTTTTCGCTACTCTTTTATGTTACTACTGCTTCCCGTATTTAATTATGATTTAATGGTGATTTAATAATTAATAAAACTTTAGGTGATTCCTTATCGAGTACTACTTGGCGGGTCCGTGCCAGGAATTCCAAAGTACTTACTTTACACGTGCTCATAGTATTCTAATGCTGTATGTTTGTTATTAAGCTTTTACCGTGATTATTTTTGACGAGTTATTGTTAATATGCTTTCTATAGAAAATTGGTACTGGTTTTGTACCAAATTTATATCAAGAAATGCACGGACCCGCCAAGTAGGAATGCACGACACCACCACCAACAACACCAACACCAACACCACCACGTGCTCGAATTTTCTCGAGTATTGTCATTACAATTTTATTATTATTGCTATTAAATTATAACGCAAGTGATAAAATTTTGAAAACTTGTTCGCAATAACTACCGCTGTAAAATATTTATATGTAAAATATTTATATTTATATAATATATAAAATATTGTGTATAGAGGAATAATACAGTCAAGAAAACTAGGAATCCATACAGCATTAGAATACTATGAGCACTGTAACGTGGCGTCCGTGGGACGGCCAGTTACATGAAAGCGTAGGGGCACGGAGAGCCGTGTCGCCAACGAAAGCCGCCAAGAGAGCCGGCTGTTGTCAAGACGTGTAAGAGACACAACAAACAGCCGACTAGATTAAAGAGCGGAGTAGGTCAAGGTTCTCGAACGAAGCGAAAACAGCTGATCGTTGCTTTTTATCGATCACGAGCCACCATGGTAATCGAGCGAATTCGAGAGTGGCATGATTAGGATAGAAAATCTCCCCCGTGGAAATGATGATTTCGGGGAGGCCAGAGGGCAACGTTACCCCGTAGGCGAATAAGTTCCAGGTAATTCGGGAGAGCCCGGTTACGGGAACAAGCAGCCGAAGGAGGGCCAGCCGGATCGAAGACGTCATGGACGAGGAACAAGGTCCGTTCGAGCGTTCCGGCAGAGCCAAAGGGCAGAGACGGCGGGTCGCGCTACGTCATACCAAATTCATCCGAGGCGCGGGTACCCTAGATAGAAGAGGGAATCACTCGCTTGGGGACCAGTGCTATCTCTCCGCTGGGACAGCGCGCGTATCCCAGTGGAGGGATGGCGAGAGTTCCGTTCTGCAGTTGGAAACTGATACCAGAGGGCTGGTGGAGGGATGACCGGCAAGAGGCCGGACAGGCCCTCGGCCTCGGAGGAGAGAGAGGATCTCTCACAGAGACACGGACCGGAAGCGAACTCCGACGAAGACGTCGCAGACCGACATCATTTTATAACGCATTTCCTGACCTACGTTCTATCCGCGACCCCAACGTGGCATTCCGCGGATCCCTTGGGCGCCAGGTGCATCCTTGCACCAGCCCGACTCGTCGGGCCTTTAATTTGTAATCCGCGGCACGTCAATTCCGGGAGTCTTCTCGACCGAATCTTCCCGCTAGCTCCTAATCCGACATGGTAGAGGGGATCGTGAGGGCGGCGAGTATCTACAGGAATCAGCCGGCTTCTTTGGTAATGACTAACATGGTGGGATTTAATTCCAACAATAACCCTTTATTTTGCCTAGGTAAACGAGTACAGTCGGGTGATGTATACGAGCGTGGCTCTATACAATTCTAATACACAACGCGGTCGCGGAGGTCATCTCTGTTGACGGTGGTTGGTTCAAATATGCAACCGCCTGGATACGTGGCGAGGCCCGCGGCCCCCCACTCCTCGTGCCAAGATGCACCGGCGGATGCGCTTCATCCCCGGCTGAATGGCTTCGCGGCGGTCGCCTAAACTGCACTTACCGAATCTTCCGGTGGACCGTATACATCACTTCCTTCTTCCTTCCTCGTCGCTCGGGTGGTGGTGATTGGCAATTTTCCTCCTCGTCGGCCGTCTCCTTCCTCTATTCTCTGAGTTTCCGCTGGGACAGCGCGCGTATCCCAGTGGAGGGATGGCGAGAGTTCCGTTCTGCAGTTGGAAACTGATACCAGAGGGCTGGTGGAGGGATGACCGGCAAGAGGCCGGACAGGCCCTCGGCCTCGGAGGAGAGAGAGGATCTCTCACAGAGACACGGACCGGAAGCGAACTCCGACGAAGACGTCGCAGACCGACATCATTTTATAACGCATTTCCTGACCTACGTTCTATCCGCGACCCCAACGTGGCATTCCGCGGATCCCTTGGGCGCCAGGTGCATCCTTGCACCAGCCCGACTCGTCGGGCCTTTAATTTGTAATCCGCGGCACGTCAATTCCGGGAGTCTTCTCGACCGAATCTTCCCGCTAGCTCCTAATCCGACATGGTAGAGGGGATCGTGAGGGCGGCGAGTATCTACAGGAATCAGCCGGCTTCTTTGGTAATGACTAACATGGTGGGATTTAATTCCAACAATAACCCTTTATTTTGCCTAGGTAAACGAGTACAGTCGGGTGATGTATACGAGCGCGGCTCTATACAATTCTAATACACAACGCGGTCGCGGAGGTCATCTCTGTTGACGGTGGTTGGTTCAAATATGCAACCGCCTGGATACGTGGCGAGGCCCGCGGCCCCCCACTCCTCGTGCCAAGATGCACCGGCGGATGCGCTTCATCCCCGGCTGAATGGCTTCGCGGCGGTCGCCTAAACTGCACTTACCGAATCTTCCGGTGGACCGTATACATCACTTCCTTCTTCCTTCCTCGTCGCTCGGGTGGTGGTGATTGGCAATTTTCCTCCTCGTCGGCCGTCTCCTTCCTCTATTCTCTGAGTTTCGTAGGAGCGCCGACGTCGTCGATAGATCCAATTTCATATCACGTCCGGGAAATAGCCATGTTGCCCAACAGGTCCTGCAAATTTCACCCACTCTCACCACACTCAAACCAGAAAAATCGCGATACCTTATCCGCCGACTTTCGGTATTCCCGTTCCGCGGTTCACACCGAAGTGGCCCCTTTCGACCCCCGGTCCGAGGATTCCCGAAGAATCCCGAGTTCACCCGAACTCGTGCGTTTACTCTCGCCTCGGTTCGCTCTTCGCTTTTCGGCGCTCACCGCCCGCCAGTCTCCGGGCGGAGCCGATTTTACCCGAGCCCGCCCGATATTCGGGCTCGGCGGTGCCGGTTTCTCTCCCCGGCTTCCCCTTGCCATGAACCTTCGTCGACATCGGCATTCTCTTGGCGGCTTTCGTTGGCGACACAGCTCTCCATGCCCCTACGCTTTTATGTAACTGGCCGTCCCACGGACGCCACGTTACAGCACATGCAAAGTAAGTACTTTGGAATTCCTGGCACGGACCCGCCAAGTAGTACTCGATAAGGAATCACCTAAAGTTTTATTAATTATTAAATCACCATTAAATCTTAATTAAATACGGGAAGCAGTAGTAACATAAAAGAGTAGCGAAAACGTTATAGGAAATATTGAAAATATAATTAAAATGATGGGCCAGTGCTAGATCATATAATAGGAAAACATGTAGTGTACTATGTACTATGTACTTGGTACTTATGTACTTGGTTATGTAAAAAAGTTTTAAACACTGAAATCTGTATTGTTAAACAAATATAAAATATAAATACATTGCAATGTCACTAATCAGATAAATATATTGCGTTGTCGAAAATGTTAAAAGCCATATAAATGTAATTTATAAATTGATTTTTCTTAGAAACACAAAAATATATATAAATTTG